TAAAGAAGGTTTAACTCAACAACAAAAAGAACAGGAAAATTTACTAAAAACCCACTTGGAATCACTGAGTAAACAACAAAAAACTAGTAGTGAGAGCCAAGAAAAATTGCTCCAATTAAGGTTAGATTCCTTCGGGCAAGAATTAAAATCGAGCAAAGAAGCTTTAAGTCAAATTAATAATCTCTTACTTACTCCTTTTAAACGAGGTCGGTTAGGTAATATTCAACTAGATCGTTTACTATCGCTTTACTTACCCAAAGATGATAGAATTTATCGTTTAGAATATACCCTCAAAAAGAAAACAGCCAAAGGCGAGGGTTTACGACCGGATGCGGTTATTTTTGGGATTGAACAAAAGAACAATTTGGCTATCGATAGTAAATTTCCTTTTGAAAATTATCTCTCGGCCGGACAAGAGGGTCTTTCTCCAATCGAGGAAGAAGAACGAACTAAAAAGTTTAAGGAAAACTTAAAAACCCACATTAAAAAAATTGCCGAGTATATTTCACTGCTAGACCATACCAAACATGTAATCATGTTTATTCCTAGCGAGGTAGTTTTTGCCAAGATTAACGAACAAAGTTATTACGACATAATTGAATTTGCTCTGGCTAAGAAAGTTTCTTTGTGTTCGCCAGTTACTTTGGCTATCATTGTCAACCAAGTTTTATGGACTAACCAAATTCACGAACAATACCAAACTATGGATCAAGTGTTAGCTAAACTACAAACTTTTTGAACGGACTTTAACCGCTGACAAGACCGCTGAGCCAAAATTCTCGAAGTGGTAAATAAGTCTAATAAGGCTTTACAAGAGTTCAATACCAGTGTGGAAAAAATTGTCAAACACGGAGAAAAAATTCGGGAAGTTAAGACTGTTCCCAACTTAGTTCAACCGGCCGAACCTTTAGCTTCTTTGCCAGAAAAGTAAAGCGTCTAACCAAATTTTATTTTTTGATCGTCCCTTTGGGCAATAAGGTCTTTTTTAGTTAGTGTAAACTCAATAACGACTTTTTTTGGAAGGTTTTTTTGATAATAAGAAATAGTATTATCCTTTTCTACTCGCTTATAAAAAACTTGAACCTCGCTTCCGTAATCAGTGAAATCAATTCAATGGTCGAACTGGTTAGGATCAAGATAAAACCTTTGTTCTAAACATCAACTTTCTTCTGGAATTTCAGAGTTATATTCTTTTCCGTTTCACCACAACCGGTTACTAAACCAATCTAATTTAAATTTCCGTGGTTTTTTTTCTTCCTTGGCCTCGGCTTGCAAAGCATTAATAAATTCATTTATTTCTGCTTCAGTAAGGTATTTTTGATAATTAGTTTTACTGGGAGAACCTATGCCCCATTGGTTAGTTCAAACAAACTTTACTGACTGGGCAATTTCATCAAGATTAAAAGGTGGGACTTCCGCAACAGCTTCGGTTCATTCCTTAATAAAACTAACCACGTATTTTTCTAGTTCGGGCTTTTTTAGTTTTACTCGACTAATCAATTTAGCAATGGCAACTTGTTTCTCAATTTCCATGAACCCCTTTTTATTTTTTTAAAGAAACTGTGTAGATGTACTGACTGTGAAAAAAATAGGTTTGACGCTTTTGAAAGCAAAAGTAAAAACTTTTTCCCTAACCATACCTAAATTAAAAATTTCTTTCTGAGCCTTGCTTCTTTAACCATCGACGATAATAATAAAATTTTCGTTGTTTTTTAATTTGAACTTGAACTGGGATTCTGGTTAATTGATCGGCCGGATTATCTTTCCCGGGAACGAACTTTAATTGTAAGTTCAAACCATTTTTCCGGGCTAATCATTGGGCTTTTCGTCATCACCCTCCTGCCCGAGTAGAACTCTTGAAAGGATGAAGTAAAGTCTTGCTATCAGTGTAAATAATCAAATGTTTGTCTTCGTCATTGGTTCGATTTTTTAAGAAATAGTAAACTCCGGATTTAATGGCTAAGGTTTCCCCTTCGATCTGCCAAGTAATCTTTTCGCTAGGTTTAAAACTTACCCGTAGAAAAGGTTCATTGCTATAAATACCTACCTTGTTATGTAAAGCATAATCGACGTAGATTTTATTAGGGTTATTTAGTACGTTCTTTTTTGATTATTAGGGCATTATACAATTTTCTCAAAAGTTTTTGGTTCGGGATGGTTGGCTGGATTGGGGGTTTCTTTTCTTTTTTTCTTTTCTTCAAAAGTGAAAGCCTTCTAATAAATACGAAGACTTTCATTTTCCTCACTAACGTTCGGAAAAGATGTTAAAAAAAAACTCAAAGACAAAAAGCCAGGAGGTAAGGAGAAAAAAGCCTAAAATCACTTCTAAACCGCTGTTTATGCGGATTTAAGGGACTTTTCCCCTCCTTATTTACTCGGGCGAAAAAAACTTACTCCTCCCTCCGCTCCCTTTCGGCAACTACCAAAATTACTAAAACTTAATTGAGGTTAGAGTTCTCCCCGTAGCGGCTCATTTAGGGAGTAGAAAGTCAGGACAAGTTTAACTTTTGCCTCCACTCGTTCCGCCCCTGGATCAGGTTGGGCGGATCTGTTAATCCCTACTAACCAGGTAATAACGGCTGGGTTTTGGGGTTGATCCGAGAAGTGGCTTTTATCCGCGGGCTCACGGTTATTCGTGTCCTTCAGAGCAGTGATGTAGGCGATATGTCTGAGTAGAGTCTTGCAACACGGCGGACCTAACCTTCTTATTGACCCTCCAACTAGCCGAACTATCTTTTGTCCGAACTAGTTGCGGAAATAATGAGAGAAATTTCCGAATCTTAATAAAGAAACAAGGTTTTTTTACCTTAAACCTGTAACAATGGCGGGAGTTAATTTCCCAATTCGGGATTACTTCCGAATTCGAAAATCAGTCCTCCTCCTCCTCTCATAAAAGCACCACTTTTGCTAGCACGTTCATTTTGAGAAAGTCTTTTAAACCAAGCCCAAAAAATCTCGCTTATTTTTTAACCTGTACTTGACCTGTATAGCACCTGTACAGGGAAAATTTTGACCAATTAAAAAAAGCGGAAAGGTAAAAGTAACCTAGAACGTACTTAATGAACATACCCGCCATTCACCCATGACACAAGAACTAATTAACTTTCGGGGTGATTTCCACAACCCCGAATTATTAACTGAATTCTCGTGCCGGGAATGCCAGCAAGTTATAAACGAAACCGATATTAAGGAAAAGAATTATTCTCTTTTCGTGAGTAATCAAAACAACCAAATCACCAAAGACGAATACGCCAATCAAGTTTTCTTTGGCTTAAAACTCTGGCTCCAAGTTGTGAAGCATAAAAGATGTCCGTTACGAAAAGCCAAACCTTATTTCGCCTTTCGTGAACCTCTCATTCAGATTAGTTTTTAAACGAGAGCACAGGATCCAAAGACCGGAAAACGAACGTACTAATGAACATAAACCGATTTCTTCACCCGCACCCTCATTATACATTTTACGCCACCAAAAAAAAAAAAAAGAACGACTGTGCCTAAAAGAGGAACACCCACAGAAATAAAAGAATATAATCGCCAGAAGTAGGTTTGACACCGAGTTAAGAAGAAAGGACTAAGTTTGACTTGAGAAGAGTTTTTAAAAAATTTGGGTCAAGAAGAAAAGGAAAACTGTCAAACTTTTAACCTGTCAAACCTAATTTTAAATAAATTGTCAAACTTACCGAGAATGTCGTAAAAAAAGTAGAACCCGAATGTTGTGCGGATTGGCGATATAATATGCTCGGGAAAAATGACACTATGGTCGCTGTAATAAATGACCGAAAAAGTTTTTTAAAGAGTTGGGGTTTAAGGTTAAAGAAAAAGTCTAGGGTTAAGACCAATTTTTGTCCACCATACAACTCCGAACACCAAAATCTAGTCCGGGTGGTCAAGACAAATTTGGAGCGAGACAAAGTTTAACAAATTGTCAGTTCTTTTTCTAGAAGAAAAAAACTTTATAATATAGAATACCATGACCGACTGAAAAGAAGTTCTCGGTGAAAAGTTTGATGAACGTTTACAACAATGATGAGAAGAAAAAGGTTTCACTCCCGAAACAGCCCAAGAATGAATCCAAAGCCAAACAGTGCAAGAATGACTACAAACGAGAATTAAAAAGTGATTTAAGCCCTATAATTGCTTTTGAATTAAAGAATGAATAACTCATAACTTTACTCCCCAAGAAGCTTATCTCTGAATAGACACCGGCTTGGCTTTTTTTGATGCTGGCTTTGCCGCTTATTTGAAAGACAAAGGATATAAACCCAATCCAGATTTTAACTCTAAACGATTAAAAAAATTAAGAGAAGAATTTTGTATCTGAAAAGATAACTTATTCTTAAAAGAAAAAACACAAAAACAGGAAAGGCAAATTCAAAAATTAAAGAATGAACTATTCATAGAACGAGAGGAAATAGCCAAATTTCACCAAAAATCAGAAGAATGAAGCAAAAAACAATTGCAAGAATTAACTGAACAAAAAGACGAAGAAATTGAAAATCTAAAAAAACAAATTGAGCAATTGCAAATCCAATTAACTAATTTACAAACGACAAGAGAACAGGCCCAAATCCAAATTCCACACAAGAGATAGTTAATTACACCTTTAATTTTGTCAAATTTGCAGTTTTTTTATTTCTAAATATTTAAAATATACAATGTAATTATCAGGGATAATTACAATATTTCAATTACTTATATAAAAATGACTAGAAAGATATTCTGTGATGCTTGTAGAAGAGGAGTGGAATTTACTTGAGAAAACTATGGCGATAGATTCAAAAAAGAATGAGAAACGGAAGAAGACGGAACTAGAAAATTGATAAAAAGAACTATCATTAATTGAAAAGCGAGATGTAATTTTTGTGGTATCAGTCCGATAGACACACGAACAGGAGTGTTAAAAAATAAAGTTCTCAAAGTAGAAAAGCCAATACTGTCCTCGGTAGATCCTGAAATTGAAAAGATTGTGCGGTCAACAGAGCAATGTGAAGCCGCGAAATCATTTTTGCATTTGTTTGCTTATCAACAACTTGCTAAGAAAAATCAGGAACTCGATAAAAAGCTTTCTTTTATCGAAGAAAAAAACGAAAAATTGGAGCAGGAGTTAAGTAAACACAAGCAAGAATTAGAAAATAAAAATAACGAAATTTCTACACTCAAAGAAAAGCAATCCAGTTCAGAACAAAATCTGAAAAATCTGGCCGAAAAAACTGAAAAAGATTTTACTAACTTGGCCATAGAAGGAGCCAAAGGACTTGATAAAAACGATTACAGCAAAGAAGAGTGAGAGGAAAAGATAAAACCTGCCACCAACCGAGGAGAATTAACAACTAATTTAATCCAGATTAAGAAAAACCAAGTTCCTCCATTCAGTATTTATGAACTAAAAAATCCCGGCAGTTGAGCGTGTTTCCTAATAATTTCCGCGTTAGGCGGAATTAGTGGCTACATTTACTTCAAGCCGGAAAAAGAAGAGGTAGAGCAATTAAGCCCGCTGGCCGACATCAAAAAGAAATTTCAACAATGACGAAATAATATCATCGCTGCCGTATTAATTTATGTAGTGCTGTTTGTTCTCGCCAAACAAGCCATTGACAAATGATTGAAACCTAATGTCTCTTGGTTGCTCGAAGACCACGAAACTGGAATAATTTTAGCCGCGACTCTCTTACTCGGATTTCTGTTTATTATTGACAGTGCTATAACCTCTTCGCTCAAAACTCCGCTTTCCCGACTAAGTGTGAAAATAGAAAACGCTGCTATAGACGAAAAAATTAAAAAAGGAGTATTAGGAAAAACCCAAGAGGCCAATGAAACCTTTAAAGAAACACTCAAAAAGTTCGGTTTGTTAGCCATCCCTACTCTGATAATTTCTTTATTGGGTCGAAAATGAGGTGATAAATTACTCTCTAACCTTTGCTATTTAGTTCCTATTTTATACGGAGTTTGAAGAATTTGAGAAACTAATAAGATAATCCGGGAGATAACTGGAAATACAAGAACAAAATCAAACCGCCATGTTGTGTAACAAATGTGAAAGAGGGAAATGCAATCGCGAGAATTCAATATGTGAAAATCGTGAGAATTGTACTTGTATTTGTAATATTGGTTTTTTTGAGGACATATTTCAAAAAGGAGGAGCGATAGGTGGAGGAGCGGCGTGCGTTGCTTGTGGTGCAGCTATAACATTTTTGAGCGGAGTTATTCTGGCTCCTATCGGGGGACCTTTGACGGGAGCGGGGTTGAGTTCGATGACAACTGGCATTGTAAAGTCAGTAAAAAAGGAAAAAATAAATGCTAAGAGTTATTTTGTAGATGTGGGGTTTGGAGCTGCAGCGGGTCTCCTCACGGGAGGAGTCGGTGCGATTGGTGAAGTGGCGGCAACCGAAGTGGCTAAAGGAGTAGTGAAAGAGGCAGCAAAAAATGGTGCTAAACTTGCCATACGAGTAGGTGCAGGAGCATGTGCTGGCCCTGCTGCCAAGAGTCTTGATGAGTGTAAACAATGTCTTAAAGGTGAAAAAGATTGAAAAAATTGGGGAAAAAGTCTTGATAAAGAGGGTAAAGAAAAGGGAGCTGGGGCTACGGCTCGTTCGTGATTAGGCAGTAGTTTGGTTGGAGGAATAGGAGGAACATTCAATCAAATTGGAAGTGCTGTGTCTAATTCAGTTGAGAATGAAATCGGCCAAGTGGTAGCAAAAATAGCGATAGAAACAGCTGGTAATACCGGAATTGATGCAGGGTATCAATTCGTAAATATCGCCAACGGTGAACAAGAAGAATTTGATCTAGAAAGAGCGGCGGTAGTGTTTACAACTACAATAACGGCAGCCTCAGTGCGAGAAGGAGTGCGGCAAGGAGCAAAAACCGCCGTAAGAAATCAAATTTACAAGGAAAATGGGGGTAAACACCGCTATGTCAATCACAAGAAAATAGAAAATGAGGTTCCTAAAGAATACGTAGATGAGGTTAAAGAAAAGTTTGACAAAATTCATGATCCTCAATACCAAAAACCACTGGCTAAAAAAATTGAAGCCATACAAGAACATCAAACTGAGTTTTCGTCAAGGAAAGAAAGTATTGAAAATTTAGAAAAAGTAAGTGAAAAGTTCGGCGTTCTTAGAGAGAAATTAATCGAAAGAATTGAAACCAAGTCTAATTTTGGAAGCAACAGTGAAGATCGTGCTGCAATCGGAAAGGAAATAAGCGGGTTAAATAAAATTATCAAAGAAGCCGATGAATTTTTGAGAATGGAAAAAGCAAATTACAGAAAAGATTTTGTGGCAACCGATCCCACCAAGCAGAAAGATTATTTTTTGAGTGAGGATAGGCTTCATGCTTTGAAAGGACAAAAGTTAGGGCAAATTGCCATAGGCAAAGAATTAGAAAGAACAGTTTTCGATTTCAATAAGAACGGAAAACATAATTTCGCAGGCTTTAATGCTGAACACGATTATTTAAAAATACCTAATCGTAGCGAAACATCCCAATATGAAATTAAATTTAAAAATGAAGGGGGAGGACACGTTCAGCACTACCACTCATTATCACAAGACCGTTCTAAAATTCTTAACCAAAACTTTGATAACAAAACAAAAAGTTTGAAAGGATTGGTTGAGCGTTTGGGAATTGAGAAAAAACAAGTTCAAGACTTAGTTGAAGCTTATCGAAATTGCAATGAAGATAACATTAACCAAATTAAACAGAAAATTCTAGAGAGAGAAGGAAAAAAAGAGGATTTACAAGAGGTTTGTCGGCTTTGTGGAGAGACTGTTGAATTGAAAAGGCAAATTGAGCAACAATATCAAACTAGAATTGAAACTAAACCTTACGTAGTTTCTACCAACTAAAATTATGACTGAAGAAAAAACTTTTAAAGTATCAGACTGAAAATGTTGGTCGTGTTATGACCTTTGCAGTAAGTTAATTATTTTTTCCGATGATGATCCTAAAAGGACCAAACTTTGTATGTTATGCTTTGTCTATATAAGAGGAATGGAAGCCGGAAGAAATGGAAGAGAGTTAGGAAGTGATTATGTTCTTTATGAAATTTATTTATACAAGGCAATAGAAAAAGAATATAAAAAGAAAGAGGACTTTACTTTAATTTCGTTTAAAAAAATTAGTGATGAATTTCAACTTTCTTGAGAAAATTATCAAAAAAGAAAGAAAAATCAAGGGTAATTGATTTGGGCCAAGAACAACAAGTTCTAATTTCCCAAATTCAAATTTCTCCAAAGAATAGTAATCGATAGATGATGGTATAAACTTTAATAATTTCGAATCATGAATAAAAACAAAAAAAACTACTACGAAATTTTACGAATAGACAAAGATATCACCGAAGAACAAATTTGGGATGAATTTAACAAACTAAAAGTCTGGTTTTACCAAGAAAATCCAGTTAACAGCGAAGAAGAAAAAAAAGAAAGATTTAGAAAGTTTAATAATATTTTGGGAACTTTAACTGATGCCGAAGAAAGAAAAAGATACGACGATTGTCTTAATCAATTTGGTTCTGACGAAAATTTCCAACCCATTTTCGACATTAACAAAAAAGAAGATTATGATCTAATAACCAATCAACTTTTAAAGAAATATGAGGAAAGAATAGAAAAATTAGAATTTGAAAAATGAAAAAAAGTTCGGGCTAAAAGAGAAAAGTTGCGAAAAGTAACCGAGGAAAATAAAGAGTGGAAGTGTGAACTTTGCCAACAACCTTATGAAAAGTTAATTATCTATTCTGAGGAGAACCCAGTCTTCCGGTTTTGCCTATCTTGCTTTTCTTATATAGAGGGAAAACTGGTTGGGGCGAAAAAAAAGGAGCCGAGTGCTAATCTTATTAGAGCAATCAAGGAAATCGAAAAAGAATGAGAGTTACTCCCCCCCTTCAACCTCATATCGTTTCATGCTCAACACACCAAAGTGATTGAAGAAAAAAAAGACGGAGGAACTTAAGGCCGATATAACCATTGATTGTCCTTCTTGTTTACGTTTTTGTGAAACTAATAAGATAATTCGGGAGGTAACTGAGAATCCCAAGGACTAAAAGTAAAAAGTAAGACTTATTCGTGCGTGATCAGCATGCTTAAAAAACAAAACGACTATTATAATAAAGTAAGTTAATAGGCTAATTTTTGTCCACCAGTTACGCATTTTTTCAGTTAAAGTTTTTAAATACAATTCAACAAACCCAAATGAACGTACTAGAAAATAATCTTTCCGGGGAAAAATCAGTCCGAACCAGAAGAATAGCTGAATTAAAAAGTCAAATTGCGATTTTACCCGCGGAATTAAACCAATGAAAAGAAAAAGAAAAGCAAGTTGACCAATTTATCAAGCCGAAAGGTTAGGGCAGGAATTTCTGGAAGAGAGAGTTAAAGAAAAAGAAGAACTAGTTGATTGAGAACATAAACAAGCCTTAAAAGACCAAGTGAAGTTTGATTTGCTATTCGTACCAGCCGGAGAAGTGTTTTACGATTTAGTTAGTCAGAAAATTGCGGGAAAAGTGAGTTGATTAGAAAGAATTTGAAATAATAAGCGGCGGGAAATAAAAGAATTAGAAAGGAAACTTCAGCGAAGCCAATTGCGAAAACAAGGAAAAGAATTATTGACTTGTGAATATAAGAGCCGAGGAGTAATTGGTTGCTTGGATGATAGTTGGTGTCAGAATTGTTTACAAAATTATGCTCCGGCCGAGTTAGTTCAAGAATGAGCCAAAATACTGAAAGAATATCATTCGCTAACTGAGCCAGAGGAAAGCGCTAAGTTTTGACGGGAAACTGGCTTATCCTGAAAAAAGGCTCATCCGGAATATGGCTTTTAGCCCAAACTTCTATAATACCATCTAATAACCAAAATGAACGTACTAAACTCTAACCCCAATAA